TTGATGCTAGGACGAGGTGTGAGGCTACCTGGGCATTATCACATCCTAGTCAGAATGGAGCATTTTCCAAGGTGGGAAATGGCATCCAGAATAGGTGGTTCAATAAGATTCAGGGGAGAATGAACTCGACATTATACGTTGTTCATGTCAGGCAGAGCCCTACTGACCATGCCAGGAACACGTAGACAGGGGAAGCCTGTCCAGGTGAATCTGATAACCTGCTTGCTGCTCTGTTCTTTTGTCAACAACTCCAATGATAAACGCGATTAGGCATGTTCCGCGCGTACGTTTGATTGTGGTTGAGTGAGATGCTCTTCGGGCCAGAAGGTTCCGAAACGATTGGGTAGGGTATTGAGCGAGAAACGTACGCGCAGGTGTACGCCCTTATTCTGGCACTGGACTGGACTGGCATTGGGGGCTGGTGGCTTGTTTGTCAACCCCAAGGGCCAACCAACCAACCACCAACTCCCATGCTGCCCGAAGTGGCATGCATGAAATCTAGGTTGGCCTCCTTTCCCCCCTCCCGTTCCGTCTCCCCCAACGTGGGCGCAGTATGAAATCTAGGCCAGGCGGACAAGAGAGGGCTTTCTAGTGCAGCGGAATTCCAGCGTGGAGCTAACAATCTGCGGACAGGCCAGCACCAGCATCTCGGAGCTCCGTTTGTGAACGCTCAATAACATAGCTATATTATAATGAATAGCGCGTATTGGGTTAACGCGTACTGCCTAGAAAGGGTAAGGCCTTGCAATACAATAGAAAACAGCTCTCGTTTTCTTATATATTCTCCCGTATGCTAGCAGTAGATTAAAAATTAATAACTCGGAAATTGTTTTGAAACGTCAGGTCTGCCTAGAAACTTTATGTAATCCGCATTTAACAACTGGCTTTATGTAATCAGCCTGTAGGGTGAATGGCTCGGTCCCTGTGCTCGAGGGTTTTTGCAGTGCCACGGGTGTTTGCGTGGGCGAGGGTATACCACCAGGCACAAGCATCGCCAAACTTTTCCTTCCTGCATGCTCCCACGCCTTGAGCGAATATGCCCGCAGGTCAGCACACCAATGACCTGCCTCGAGAAACTTTTGGCGTTCCAAGTTTCGCCAGCCCCTGCGCCTCCAAAAAGTTTCGCCATTCGCCGCTTCGCCAGCTCGAGCGGGTGGTGCGGACAAATGCGGGTTTCGCTGTCTGCTGACAGCACCCACAGAACCAGGAACTGATCCATCGGATCATCAGCCACCTGGTGTTCTTAAAACGGGCAGGCGTCACTTTTCCATCGCTCTGCCTGCCCAGCCCTGGTTTTGTTCGATACAAGACGCCCAGCGCAGAAACTCCTGCGCCGAAGTCCCTCCGTCTCCCGCCACAGTCTCCCCCTGCTCCAAACCTCCGCCACCACCCCACCTCCCACCCAGCCCTGCTTTCCTTGTCCTGCAAACCTCGGGATTTGCTGCCTGGTTCAAATACCTCAGCCTATTCCCTGATCGTACTTTTCATATCTTTTTCTAATCCCTCGATCCTATCTTCAATTACCATTCCTGTTCTTCATGGTCGCTGCGCTTCATACGCGACCTAAGGCGTTGTCAGCTCGGCGTCACGCCGCCTGTCGGTGGTTCGTGGGGAAATCTCGAGTAGATTGATGTCCCAGCAACCGGGTAGGACCGATAGACCGGATCAGGCGAGCCGGAAAGGGAGAGGCGGCGGGACGAGCGGTCCTCGCCAGCAGGGGGGTCCGTCCGGAGGAAAGGGGCCCAGCCCCGTAGGTAGCGGTCAGAGCTCAGCTGCCGGCTCAGCTGCCGGTCCGACAGCCGGACGCGGTCAACCGCAAGGAGTCGGACGAGGGTATGTGATCCGATGTTTAGCGCAGTGTAGTGTAGCTTAGCTCTAGGCTGATCGTAGGTAGTGGCACATCGTGAGCAGTGCCTTAATCGTAAATAGTAGCTTATTGCAGATAGTAGCAGATCATAGGTAGTAGGGTATCGTAAAGCGTAGCCGATTGTAGATAGTAGGTTATTGCAGGTTATCACGGCTTAGCTAGCAGCTGCTTGTTCGTGGAGCGTACAGGGAGATTAGATAGTATTCCCGCTTTAGTGGGAAATTCGTTGCATGAGTAATCCGTGACCTCTTCAAGGCAATTAGTCTGTCTGATCCATCATTGATCTAACGAATAACGCCAGACACATCGACTTGACTTGATCTGACAACTGTCTGTGATCTGACGACCGTTCGTGATCTGTCGATTGGCGTACCTTATTCGTATGGAATGAGTAGAGTTCTGAGTCGATTCACAAGTCACCTCGTACGATGTCATCGGGCGTGATCTGCCAACGGTGCACCTTACGCTCGTTTACGCATCCTCGTGATCTGACAACGGCGTACCTTGCTCTCGTCGACGCATCCTCGTGATCTGCCAACGGTGTGCCTTACTCTCACGGAGTGTGATCGGCTCGTCCACGCATCCTCGTGATTCGTTGCCGGAATCGTTTTCAACTCAATAGCTACGCGTGAATGCAGCCGCGCAGGACGGAATCGGTTGAACTTAAAGGATCGGCCGGTTGTTCGTTCTAGTTACGGTCGAAACCGCGTGCTGCTGGAATCTAGAGGGATCTCTCAGCCACCGCGTGCGGAGGGATCGCTCATGCTTTTGTTCGCTCTTTCCGAGCTTATCCCAAATCCCCTTTATTCACAGTTCCCTTGGCCGCTCTACAGATGTCCTTATCTTTTTACATTCCCCTCGAATCATGTTCGCTCTCTGTAATCCCGCTTCCCCCACCCCCAGTTTCCGGTCGAACCCCGAATGGCCCCGCTACAGTCACACCTAGCGCCGGCGGAGGCGGCATCGGTCGGGGAAGCGGGCAGGGGGTGGCGGGAGTGGCAGCGCAGTGGGAGTAGGCGGCGCTGCCGGCGGGCCGGGCGGAGGACCGGCGGGTATCGCGGAGCAGCAGGTAGGATTCGAGAGAACATGAATAGAGAACTTAAAGAGAGAGCGTGAGTAGAGAACGAGAATAGAGAGCGTGAATAGAGAGCGTGAATAGAGAGCGTGAATAGCGAGCGTGAATAGAGAGCGTGAATAGAGAGCGTGAATAGCTAGCGTGAATAGCTAGCGTGAATAGAGAGAGCGTGTACATTACCAGACGATAGGTGCTCGCAGATCGGGCGTCAGAGACAGTTGGCTATCCGATATACGTGCCACCACTGGAAAGGAAGTACACGCGCAGCAGTTACATCATTTTTTTCTCCCTTGCGACAGTTTTTTTGGTTGAGGGCTGGATGCTTAAGGCTCGATTCGACTTGGGAGATATTCCACAGAGCCGTGTATAGCCTTCGGATTTAGACTCCGTTGCCGAGTTGCTTTAGTTTTCCATGGGATCTGCTTTGCAGAGGATCTACTTTGCAGAGGATCTGGTTTGCAGAGGATCTGGTTTGTTAGGTGGTGCGAGGGTTGCTCGATGCAGTAACTGCATGTTCAGCCAGTGTTTTCCGTGTGCTTAGCACAAGATAAACAAGTTGGACTGGTAGCAAATTCCTGGAACCACCGAATGTAAGTGCTCTATTCTCACCCTCTCCCGCCCTCTGCAGGACCCCAGTCCCAGCAGCGGTATGGATCAGCGCCAGTCGCGGGCAACGGCCCACACCAGCAGCAGCGCCCGCGCCTTCCGCTGGGGCGCGGGGCCTGCACGCAGGCCCGCTTTCCACTCCGCCAGCGCCCCTCACGCCCCCGCCACTTCCGCCACCCAGCAGCAGAGCGGCAGCAGCAGCCAGCGTGAATGTATCGTCTGGCCCGGGATCCCAGGGTTCGAATCCGCGCCTCCCCTGCGGATTCCGCCTTCCCGGTCTCTCCCGTTCCACGTCAGCAGGCGGAGCAGCAGTTCGGCCTGGGGCTCCGGGCGGAGCTGGGGGGGGTGTAGGCGCGCCTGCGCCAGTAGCAGGGGCAGCGGGCGCACCTGGCGCAGGCCCCCCCGCTGCGCCTGCGCCGAGAATATCGTTTGCGGCTGCAGCTTCTGGGGGGATGTCATACGCGCAAAGAGCCGCACAGGCGTTGAATCGCGCGGCTGCACCACCTTCCCAGGCGCAACAGGCGCAGGCGCAGGCGCAGGCGCAACAGGCGCGGGTGGGCGGAAGCGGGGCGCAGCAAGCGGCAGGTCAAGCAGGGAAGCCGCGCCACAGGGGAGGCGGACGGTAGAAGCACCGCCCCTGCAACAACCATTGTGTCGACTGCAATCCCTACAGTTACAACAACTGCCGCCAAGCTTGCAGCTCCTCCCGCCACAACTGCGTCAGCTCCTGCTGCTGCGGCTGCGGCGGCGGCGGCCGTTGCAGCAGCAACTGCTGCTGTGTCTGCGCCGGCGTTTCTGCCCCTTCTCAGTCCTTCGCAGCGGCGGCTGCTGCTGGTGCCGCGGCTGCTTCCTCCAAGGTACCTACTACAGTAACTACCAAGCAGTCCAGCCTCCGCGCCTGTTCCCAAACCTCCACTGCAGGCTCGGCAGCAGCACCGGCTGGGTCCCTTACAGGGTTCTTGTCAGCTGCACGCGCGGGGCTAGGGGAGGGCGCAGGCACAGGCGCAGCTGGTGGCGCGGGCAGGAGGGGCTCAGGGGGCAGCGAGTGGGGCGAAGGGTGGGGCTAAGGGTGGGCGAAGCCACCAGTTAAAGCCCTGGTCCTGCTGCGGCTGTAGCAGGGCCTCCTGGGGCTGTAGCGGGGCCGCCTGCTCTTCCCCCCGGCGTGTCTCCTGTGGCTCTCCAGTTCGGCACGTTTAACCCTAGCTTCATGGGCGCTAGCGGCCCTGTCATTGTATGCTCCCCCCCCCCCTCCCCTCTCCCTTTGAGGCGCCTCAAATCTTTCATGCCAGTGATCGCGTGATCTCTGTCTCCTATCGCTCCCCCTCACTTGCTTCCGCTTCTCTTCTGCCGCTTCCCCCTGCCTCGGTTTTTTTTCCTCCGCTTTCCTTTCTTGCTTCCTCTTTCCTCCTCTTGCGTCCTCTTGCGCCCTCTTGCCTTACGCCCTGATCTGCCCTTTCACCTGTTCGCCTTTCGCTCTCTCCGGCTCCTGTGCCCGTTCAACGGTTTCCTCTTTGCTCCTCCGTCTATTCACCACCTGTGCTTTCCTCCCTCCTGCCTCTGCTGCTGCTGCTGCTTCTGCTGCTGCTGCTGCTTCTGCTGCTGCTGCTGCTGCTGCTGCTGCAGGTTCCCCCGCGCACCACGTCTGCACCGCCTAGTTTGGACGAGCAGAAGAAGGAGCAGGTACACTGTTGGGCCCACCCTGCTACCGTCTCCGCCTTCGCTCTCTCCTCCCCCTTCCCTCCAGCATCGCCGCCTTCTTTTCTTCGCTCTCGCTTTACTTCTCTCTCTCACTCCATTTCTCTACTTATTCTCTCCTCCCAGCCAGCTCCGCACACTCCCACTCCCCTCTATTGGGCTCTTTTTCCCGTTAACTTACAGTTTCTTCCCTTACCGTACTCGTTCTTCCCTAAACCGTACTCTTTCTTCCCTAACCGTACTCGTTCTTCCTTAACCGTACTCTTTCTTCCTGCCTGCCGCATGTCTCTCTAAACCCCCTATCAGGCGCGGCACGAGGCCATGCTACGCCAGCAGCAAGCGGCTAAGTCTGGCGAAGCAGGAGCAGCAGCAGCCGCGGGGCCTAGAGGCCCTATAAGCGGCAGCATTCCAGAAGAATCTCAGCAGGTTTTGCCTGCTCCCGCCCCTGCTGCCGCCACCAGTAGCGGTAGCATCACTGCTCCAGTTGCCGCAGGGGCAGGAGCAGTGGCAGCAGCAGCAGCAGCAGCAGCAGCAGCAGGGGTAGTAGGGGCAGCGGGAGGGGCACCAGTAGGGGTACCGGCGGGTGCAGGGGCTGCAGCGGCTGTGGGCGGATTGGCGGAGGGGCGGCAGGGGGAGGAGGGGGGCGGGGAGGGGATGGAAGAGGGGGCAGCAGGCGCAGGGTGGGCCTAGAGCGGGTGCGGGGATCTTGTCGTCTGCTGGGATCAGCGCATGGGGCGCAGGCGCAGCTGGTACAGGTGGTGTAGGTGCAGCTGGGCAGGCGCATCTGGCGTAGGTGGAGCTGTAGCAGTGGGAAGTGAAGGTCAGGTGGCCAAGGGGGAGGCTGGAGTAGCGACGGCATGGCAGCAGCAAAAGCAGCAGCAAGAACAGCAGCAGCAAAGACAACAGCAACAGCAACAGCAGCAGAGGCAGCAACAGCAACAGCAACAGCAACAGCAGCAGAGGCAGCACCAGTTTCAGCTTCAGCAGCAGCAGCAGCAGCAACAGCAACAGCAACAGCAACAACAACAGCAACAGCAACAGCAGCAGCAGGCCGCACGCATGGTTTCCAACCATCTCCCTTCCAACAACAGCAGCAGCTGCACCAGCAGCAGCAGCAGCAGCTGCACCAACAGCACCAGGCACATCAGCACGCACCAATTCAACCCTCCCTGCAGCAACAACAGCAACAGCAACATCAACAGCAGCAGCAACAACAGCAACAACAGCAGCAGCAGCAGCAGCAGCAGCACAGGCCCCAGCAACCTCCACAGCCCTCCCCTCCTCCCCCGCTCGTTCAACCGCCCTTGCAACCCCTCCCGCGGCCCACATACGCCACCCCTGATGATGCCTGGCGGGCCCCAGGCTCACCTACAGGCCCAGCTACAGGGCCAGCTACAGCCGGGCCCACTACAAGGTCAGCTACCGAATCCGCTACAGCAAGGCCCGTTACAAGGTCAGTTACCGAACCCGCTACAGCAAGGCCCGTTACAAGGTCAGCTACAGGGGCCGCTACAGCAGCTGCCGCCCCACCTGCAGCACGCTGCCATGGCGCTACAGCAGCACGGCCATGGAATTCCGCCGCACTTGCAGCATCCGGGACTGCACCAAGCGGGGCTGTCGCCTCAGCCGGGTATGGGGGTGGGTCAGCAGCAACAGCAGCAGCAGCAGCAGGCGCAGCAGCAGCACCAACACCAGCTGCAGCTGCAGCAGCAACAGCAACAGCACCAGTTGCAGTCGCAGCAGCAGCAGCAGCAGCATATGCAGCAGCAGCAGCAGCTGCAGCAGCAGCAAGTTCAGGGACCCCAGCCTTCCCCTCCCCCGCCCCAGCAGCAACTCCAACAGCAGCAGCATCAGCAACAACAGCAACAGCAACAGCAGCAGCAGCAGATGCCACACCAGCAGCCTTCACATTTGCTGCAGCACCAGCCCCAGCAGCACATAGTTGTGGCTTACCAGCAGCACGGCCCCTCAGGAATGACAGTCCAGTACGGTACTGTACCCGCAGGCACTCAATTCGCGGGCATGCAAAACCCTAAATCCTCTACCCTGCTGCAACCCAGGGCAAGCCGGGCACTTAAAATCATGGACCCCACGACCCAGAAGGAGGTGAAGGTGGAAAAAGTGGCCGCGGCGAAAGGCAAGCCTGGAGCAGTGGAGCAGCGGGAGCAGCGGGAGCAGGGGCGGCAGGAGGTGGGCGAAGGGGGGAGCAGGAGCAGGGGCAGGCGCAGCAGGAGGGGCAGGGGAGGGCACGGGTGCAGGGGCGGCAATTGGTGGGGAACAACACCCTCAACTGGTTCCCCCGCTCCTCATGGGTTTACCACCGCCCCTGCGGGGGGGTCAGGGTTTGACATGCAGGGCCAGCCACCCACGCCAGGCTCCACCCCCACCACCCCCCAAGGCGGATTGGTCTCCCCCTCTGCTGCTGGGGCGGCAGCAGCAGGAGTGGCCGGCAGGGGAATGCCGATAGGCGTGGCAGCAGCAGCAGCAGGCGTGCGACCCCCCATGGGGTTTCCACAACCCGGCCACATGCTCCCGTCTATGTACTACCCGGGTGTTCCTGGCGTTGCAGGGGTGCCTGGTGTGCCGGGAGTGCCGGGTGCTTACCCGCAGCAGCGCTTCTTCCCTCCTCAACAGCCTGGGCTATGCCAGCAGGGGGAGGGATGCCTGGCGGGGCGGGAGGGGGATGGGTGGGCCAGGGGCAGCGGGGCAGGCTAGGTTTAGCCCCTCTTACCCGCAGCCGGCAGGGCATGGGCCAGGGGTTAGGCCCCATATGGGGCATATCTTGCCGCACCAGCAGATGCCAGGGGGTGGGCCTGGTGGTATGCAGGGCTTCCTGGTGCAGGTATGGTGCACTATGCTACTGGCGCCATTCCTGGCGCCGGGCCTGGAAGTTCAGGTTCGGGGCGGGTGGTTCGGGCGCTGGGGAACTGGTTCGGGGCAGGGGAGGAAATGACCATGCCTGGGATGGATGGCATGGTGAACATGGCTGTGTCGTCACCGGTAGGCCCGGGAGCAGGTATGGCGATCCCGAACCTGCCGATGATGGCTCCGGTAGGCTCGGCAGGGCAACCCGTGGGAGGGTATATGATGGGCGCGGGGACAGGGTTTTTGATTCCGGGGCATGGGCGGGGAGTAGGGGGAGTGGGGGGAGTGGGGGGAGTAGGGGGAGGCGGACGGGCACGGGGAATGCAAGGGAGAGGGACAGCAGCAGCAGGGCCTGGGGCGGGTAGGGGAGTGGGGCAAGTGCGCAGATCATGGCTTCAAATGTAATTGTGGTGTCATCCTCTGGCCATGTTACTACCGGTATGCCTTCGCCAGGTACGGGAATTCGAGACAGGTCCGGGGCAGGTCCGGACGGACTGAGTAGGTCTGGGAGTGGTAAGAAGGGAGGGCCAGTGGTTCGGAGCCCGTCTGCTGCTGCTGGGGGGCAGCAGGGGACAGAGGAGAAGGGAGGGAAGGAGGGGGAGGAGTGTGTGGGGAAGACGGTTGAGGGAAAGAGCGAGGAAGGTAAGGAGGGAGAAGAGAATAGGGAGAAGGAGAAGGATGAAGCTGCGAAAGAGAGTGAAGGAGAGGGGGAGAAGCAGAGCGTGGAAGGTGCAGGGAAGAGTGCAGAGGGGAAGAGCAAAGACGAAGGCGGAGCGCATGGCACAGGCGAAGCGGTTGCAGCAAAAACGGCTGAAGGGAAGGAAGTGAAGGAGGTGGGTGGTGGTGATGTGAAGGCGGCCAGTGTGGGAGGTGTGGGAATGGAGGGAGGGAAGGAGGTGGGAGGAGAGGGAACAGTGGTTGGGAAGGATGAAAGCAAGACAGAGGCTATGTCAAGCTCTTCAGCTGCTGCTCCTGTTGCTACTGCTGCTGTTGCTGCTGCCCCTGTTGCTGCTGCTATTGCCTCTGTTGCTGGCTGCCGCTGGTGCTGCTGTTGCTGTCGCTGTTACAGCCGCGGCAGTGGCTCCTATGGTTGCAAAGCAAGTGGAGGCAGGGAGGGAGGGGGTGGAGGTAAACGGGAGGCGGCTGCAGCGAAGGTTAGGGAAGGCGAAGAGAAGAAGGTAGAGGAGAAGGGGGAGAAGAAGGGAGGGAAGAAGAGAGATGGGAAGGAGAAGGAAAGAAGAAGAAAGGAGAGGGGAAGAAGGAAGGAAGGAGAAGGAAGAGGATAAGGGGGCCGGCAAGAGAGATGAGGGAGAAGCAGCGAAGGAGGCTGAAATTAGAACTGCTGAAGGGGCGAAGGAGCAGGTGAAGGAGGCTCAAGGGCCTGTTCCTTTGGCTACAGATGCCACGGCTAATGCTGCACCAACTCCTGAAGCTTCAGTTGCTACTGCTGCAGCTGCTGAGGCGGAAAGCAAGAAGGAGGTTAGGGTAACTTCGGTGGTGAAGGCATGCTGCTGCTAAGGCTGAAGCCCCTAAGGCAGTTGAGCCGAAAGAGGGAGTGAAGGAGGAAGAGGTGAAGGGTGAAGTTGTTGAGGAGGGGAGAGAGGAGGAGAAGAGAGAAGAGGGAGGTAAGGGTGAGGTGATGAAGGGTGAGGTGATGAAGGGTGAGGTGCTGAAGGGTGAGGTGCTGAAGGGTGAGGTGCTGAAGGTGAGGTGATGAAGGTGAGGTGAAGGAAGAACGGAGGGGAAGGGAGAGACGGATAAGCAGGGGAACGGGAAGAAGGTGGAGAAAGGGACGAAGGGGGCGGAGAGTGCAGAGGCTGTTTCTGCAGAGGCAGAAAAGAGTAAGGAGGTGAAAGAGGTTGGGAAGGAGGAGGGGAAAGCGGACGAGAAACAGGCAAGGGGTAAGGGCGAGAGTGGTGGGGAGAAGTCAACTAGTGCTGCTGCAACAGCTGCTGCTGCAGCTGCTGCAGCTGCCACCGGCCGCTGCTGCTTCAGCCGTTGCTGCTGCTACAGCTGCCCGCCGGTGCTACAGCTGCCACTGCTCCTGCCAAGAAAAAGAACTGAAGGACATCTTGGCTGAAAAGGATGCTGAGGTCCCTTCTGACCTCTATAACGCGTACAAGACCCCCGCTGCTAAAGACAAGAGAGTGAGGGGAAGAAGGGCGGGGGCAGGCGCAGGAGCAAGCAGGGAGGGCTGAGGGAGAGCCTGCTGAGGTGGGAAAGAAGGACGAAGCTTCCAAGGCATCAGAGAAGGAGGAGGAGAAGAAAGAGGAGGAAGTGGATGATTGGGAGGAGCAGTGGATACTGACGGTGGGAAGGGCCCGTGTTGGAAGGGTGGAGCAGCTCCAACCACCCCTGCTGCTGCTGCGCCGCTGCAGCGGCCGCTGCTGCTGTTGCTGCTGCTGCAGCAGCAATGGGAGCAGCATCGACTAGTGGCTCAGGTAGAGGAGCAACACCCCCACCAGCAGCACCACCAGCAGCAGCAGCAGGAGGCGCAGCAGCGGCAGTGTCGACACAAAAAAGGCGCCAAAGAGTGGCGAGTCTACCAGCGATACAGAGGGCTTGCTCAAGTACACCGCGACTTCCTCCTCACTCTGCGAGACGCCCAACACGACCTCCCAGGAGACATGGATTTCCAGGGGTTCCTTAGAGAGGTCGGGATGCATGCTCTAAAACAGCCCGCGTATCACAAAGCCCAGCAGATGGCGAATCAGGGGTTCGACCGCCCCATGGACCAGGGAGGCGCACCCGGGGGAGGCTTTCCCCGGCCAGGAATGGAGGAGGACCGGTGGGGTAGAGGCCCGGGTATGGGCCCGAGAGGTCCGGGCGGAGGCATGGACGGCGGGTTCTGGGCATGCCAGGTCCGGGGGGAGGTCCGGGGTTCAGAGGCCCGGGAGGAGGCCCGCCTATGGGCATGGGAGGTCCGGGCATGCGGGGAGGAATGGGCGGGCCAGGGGGGCCGTTGCTGGGTAGGGGGGATCGGGGGTGCTGCCGCACGGTGCGCCTGGTATGGGGGGCCTGGGGGGATGCCGATGGGTGGGCCACGGGGAGGAGTGGATGCAGATAGATGGGCGAGAAACCCGCTTCAGAACCGGCCGGCTGCCCCTGCTGGTCCCCCGCTTCCCGCGATTCATAAGACCGAGAACAGGTACAAGGCTGGGCTGGTTTCAGACGAAGAGGAGAAGAAGCAGCGGCAGATCAAGGGCATCTTGAATAAGCTGACGCCGCAGAATTTTGAGAAGTTGTTTAATCAGGTCAAGGAGGTGAAGATCGATTCCCCGGAGACTCTCACAGGGGTGATTGCGCAGATTTTTGACAAGGCTTTGCTGGAGCCGACGTTTTGCGAGCTGTATGCTAAGTTTTGTCAGGAGTTGGCCGTGGAACTGCCTCAGTTTGGGGAGGGCGATGAGAGGGTGACGTTTAAGCGCACGCTTTTAAATAAGTGCCAGGAGGAGTTTGAGAGAGGGGATCAGGAGCAGCTGGATGCGGAGAAGGAGGAGGAGGAGGTGGAGGTGGAGGAGGAGGAAGGGAGGGAAGAAAGGGAGGGGAGGAAGGGGAGGAGGAGAAGGAAGGGAAGAAGAAGGGGAGAGGGAGAGAAGGAGGAGGGTAGTAAGGAAGGGAAGGAAGGGGAGAAGGAAGGAGAAAAGGAAGGAGAAAAGGAAGGGAAGAAGGAGGGAAGGTGATGGTTAAGAAGATGGTGAAATTGACAGAGGCGGAGAGGCAGAGCAGGAGGCAGAAGGCCAGGAGGCGAATGCTGGGGAATATCCGCTTTATAGGAGAGCTGTATAAGATGAGCATGCTCACCGAGCGCATCATGCACGGGTGCATTGTGAAGCTTCTCGGAAACACAGAGGTGGGTCTTCTGTCTGTTGTGCATTCCGATCGACCGTTGCTTGTTGTGTGTGGAGGAGCGGTGGTGTGTGCGTTTCTCGCTCCTTCACGTTCGCTGCTCCTCGCTCCTTGTGCCCTCTACCCTGTCCTTCCCCACGACCCTGACGAGGAGGACATCCAGGCTCTCTGCAAGCCGCTCAACACCATTGCCGCCATCATTGGTCACGAGAAGGCCAGGAGCCACATAAACGCGTACTACATGGGCATGCTTCCTCGTTCCTGCCTCAACCCATGTTCTCCCCCTGCCTCTCCCGCTTGCCTTCCCTACACAGATCCGGACGAGGAGGATATCGAGGCATTGTGCAAGCTGCTCACCACCATCGATGCGTGCCTGGCCCGGGTCGCCATCCTCTCTGCCTCACCCCTGTGTCTGCCCTGCTCCCCCGCGATCCCTTCCCCATTTAGGACCCTGACGAGGAGGACATCGAGGCTCTGTGCAAGCTGCTCACCACCATCGGCGCCATGAGAAGGCCAAGAGCCACATCCCCTGCCAATTCACTCAAGTAGCCGCCCTTCTCCTCCCCCCACCGCCCCTCAATGCAGGACCCGGACGAGGAGGACATCGAGGCTCTGTGCAAGCTGCTCACCACCATCGCCATCATCGACCACGAGAAGGCCAAGAGCCACATCGACGCATACATGGCGCGGATCGACATCCTCTCTGCCTCCCCCAAGCTCTCCTCTCGCATCCGCTTCGGTCTGAAAGACATCATTGAGTTGAGGGGCAACAGGTGGCAGGCTAGAAGGAAAGTGGAAGGGCCTAAGAAGATTGACCAGGTGCATCGGGACGCGAGGGACGAGCGGTCCAATGCCGTCGCGACAGCTGGCAGGCAGATCTTGGAGCGCGGGGGCGGGGGGAGCAGGGGGCCGGGGGGCATGGGGGGGAGTGGGCGGCGGCCGGATTACTCCATGGAGCCGCCCGGGCGGCCGGGTATGGCTGGGTCTGGGCCGATGAGGGGAGGGCCGGGGCTGATTGGGGGCAAGGGGATGGGGGAGGGCCGGGGGGAGGGATGTATGGGCGGGGGCCGGGATATGGTCCCCCTGGGGGATGGGGGACGGGGAGGAGGCCCTGGCGGGTTTGAGGGGAGGGGCGGGATGGATGATATGGGCCGGCCCATGCCCTTGCCCCAGAGAATCATGGATGAGGGGGAGCTTGAAACTTGGGCCCGCAAGGGGGGCTGGGGAGACCTGTGGGGGGAGGGCCAGGGGGAGGCATGGGCGGGGGATGAGGGGGGACCTGGGGGACCCATGGGCGGACCCATGGGGGGGCATATGGGGGGGCCGGGGCGTGGGGGACCAGAAGGTCCCCCTGGTGCCATGCCTCCAGAGATGCGCAGGTTCGGGCCGAGCCAGAGCGAGAGGTTCGGGCCGAGGGGCGGTGGGGATAGGGATATGCCAATGAGGCCAGGTCCGGGGCCGTATGGGGAGAGAGGGGGGAGAGAGATGGGGGGAGGGGGATTGGGGGACCGGGGCTAGGAGTATGATCATGGGAGAGGAGGAGGGCCGAGGGGAGGGGGTATGGGGGAGGGGGATGGGGATGGAGAGGGAGAGAGAGGTCGATGCTTGGCGAAGAGGAACGAGAATCGAAGAGGAAGGGCCACCAGGGGGGGACGGGATGGAGGAAGGGACGGAGGGAGAGAAGGAGGTAGGGATGTGTGGAGAGAAACGGGGGGGATGGGGGCGAGAAGGGGCAGGGAAGGGGGAAGAGGCGAAGGCTTGGGAGCAGGTCCGAGGGCCAGCATGGGTGGTGGAGGGGCGGAAGGAGCAGGCGGAGCAGGGGGAGGCAGGAGGAGCAGGAGGAGCAGCAGGGGGAGGAGCAAAGGCAGAGGGGGGCATGGATGAGGAGAAGGCAGTGGCGAAGGCCAACACGCACTGGAGGAGTACCTCAGGTGAGGCAGAGCAGATGGTTCAAGTGGTGGCTCAGGTGATTTGACTGGTCCCAGGTGGTTTCTGTTTTTTTTTTTTTTTTTTTTTTTTTTTCTGAACCCCTTATGAATTACTCACCCTTTCCGAGATATGGTGACACCATTTCCTCCCTCTCCCCTCCTCTCGCCCTCCCGCCTCACAGTGTGCCTGACAGGCCTCCTCCCTGTGTGCCTGACAGGCCTCCTCGCTGTGTGCCTGACAGGCCTCCTCGCTGTGTGCCTGACTTCAAGTGTTCAGGTGGAGGTCTGTCTGTGCGTAGAGGAGCCGCAGTCGCCGCAGCAGCACACTCACACTCACACTCAGCCCCCTTCTCGCTCTCCTTTAATGCTCTGTTCTCACCAGCCTCCTTTTCTCCCAGCGCGCGCGACTTCAAGGAGGTGTGTCTGTGTATGGAGGAGCTGCAGTCGCCGCAGCAGCAAGCCCACACCTTGAAACCCCGGCCTTTCTCTCCCCCTACCCTGCCCCCATACCTCCCAGTGCACGCGACTTCAAGAGGTGCGTCTGTGCATGGAGGAGCTGCAGTTGCCGCAACCGCCCTCACCAGCCACCCTCAGCTGCAGTCCCCGCAGCAGCACACTCACAATCACCCTCCCTCTTGGCTCTCCTTCCCTCTGATTCTGCCCTGTTCGAACTCCCCAGCGCGCGCGACTTCAAGGAGGTGTGTCTGTGTATGGAGGAGCTGCAGTCGCCGCAGCAGCACGGGGCGATTCTGGCGAAGTGGGTGGCCACGGGGCTGGACAAGAAGGAGGCGCAGCGCGCAAGGTCGTGGAGGACCTGGTCGTGCGGCTCTGCTCCGAGCCCAAGCCTGCGTTGTTTACCTGGGCACAGATTGAGCAAGGGTAAGACGGTTCCGCGGGTTTGGGGGCGAAAGTGCAGAGTGGGTAGCCACCGGGCTGGACAAGGAGGCGGCGCAGCGCAAGCATGTGGAGGACTTCGTCGTGTGCCTCTGCTCCGAGCCCAAGCCGGCTCTCTTCACTCGGGCACACAGATCGAGCAAGGGTGAGTGGTTGTAAGGGGCTGGGTGGGGGTGATGGGTTTTGTGGCCACCGGGCTGGACAGAAGGAGGCGCAGCGGAGGCACGTGGAGGACCTCGTCGTGCGCCTCTGCTCGGAGCCCAAGCCGGCGCTGTTTATGGGAGCACAGATTGAGCAGGGGTGAGTGCTTGGAGGGGGTACAGGGTTCTGTGAATGGTAAGGGGTGGGTGGCCACGGGGCTGGACAAGAGGCGCAATGCGGGCTAGCACCTGGAGGACCTGCTTGCAGTGGAGCCATTTTTTTAGAATTCTCAAAGAGGACCCGGTTGTTCGCCTCTGCTTAAGCACGCGTGAGGGGTTGTGTGAGGGCATGTGGATGTGGAGACACCTGGACTCCCTCCCCCCGCTTCACGTGCCGGGCTGTTCCTCCCTCAAACCTTGAATCGTGGTCCTTGCAGGTTGGTGCGAGTCTTGCAGGAGCTGAGAAGGATGGGTCAGTCGATGCTCCGATCCTCCCTGTCCCTCCCGTCCCAAATCCCACTCACTTCATCACCACCTCCCCGCCCCCCCTCCTCCTGCTCCCTCCCTCCCTCACTCCCTCTCTCAGTCTCGTGCGAGCCTTCCAGGAGCTCGAGTCAACGCCCCAATCCTCCCCGCTCCCTCCTGTCTCATATCCCACTCACTTCATGCCCCCCTTCCCCCCCTCGCCTCCTTCCCCCCCCTCCCTCACTCCCCCCCTCAGACTCGTGCGAGTCTTCCAGGACCTCGAGGATTGGTCAGTCGACGCCCCCAAAGCCCCGCAGCACGTGGGCCGCCTGATTGGCCGGCTCGTGGCAGCTGGCGCGATCCCATTGGCTGACGTGGCGCGGCTGGTGAAGGCGGGCGGCGCAGAGGAGGGGAGTCTTGTGGAGATGGGGGAGGGGATCAAAGTGATGGTGGCGGTGGTGGAGGCGGTGAGGGAGGAGAAGGGGGAGAAGGAGGCGGGGGAGATGGTGCGGGGGCGGGGATCGAGGGTCCGGAGGGGTTTATGGACGAGCGGGCGAGGGGGAGGAAGGAGAAGGTGGAGGAGGCCAGGAAGGCGCTGGGGCTGGCAGGTGCTGCGGACCCGGTGAGTGCTGCTGTGAGGGCTGTGAGTGTTGCTGTGAGGGCTGTGAGTGCTGCTGTGAGGGCTGTGAGTGATAGTATTTGTCCAGTGCTGTGTAGAAGCCCCCTTTTTGGATGAGAGGGCGAGGGGGAGGAAGGAGAAGGTGGAGGAGGCGAGCAAGGCACTGGGGCTGGCTGGTGCTGCGGACCCGGTGAGTGCTGTGAGTGGTGTATTGTGTTGCGTAAAGAACCTTTTTGTGGACGAGAGAGCGAGGGGGAGGAAGGAGAAGGTGGAGGAGGCGAGGACAGTCCTGGGGTGGGCTGGTGCTGCGGAGCTGGTAAGTGCTGTGAGTGTTGTGTGGCGCGGTGTGAAGAACCCCTTTATGGATGAGGTAGTCCATGGGATCAAGGCGAGAGTGGAGGAGGCTAGGAAGGCGCTGGGACTGGCTGGGCATGTGGTTGCACATCCCTGGCTGGCATCCGTCCTCAAGGGTCTGTACACCGCTGACATCCCCCCCCCCCCCCCCCCCCCCCCTCTCCTCCCACTTTCCCTTCTCCTCTCCCCGTTTTGGATCATCCGTTGTCAGCTAGAAGCAGTGGTCCTCCTCCCCCCCCCCTTCCCCCACACCTTCCCCTCGCTCCTCCCCCCCTTGTGCCATGCCCTGGCAGCTAGAAGCAGTGGTCCTCCTCCCCCCCCCCTTCCCCCACACCTTCCCCTCGCTCCTCCCCCCTTTGTGCCATGCCCCTGGCAGCTAGAAGCAGTGGCGGCGCACCTGACGGAGGGACTTGCCAAGGGCGAACCAGCAGAGGCGGTGCTCAAATGGCTTCAGGTGAGATTTCAGGTGCCACTTATTGCTGCATGGCCATGGGAATTTGAATTGCACCCTTCCTCTTTCTGTCTACTTGAACAATGTTTCCATCTGTTATTTTCCTGTTATGCATGTGCGTATTTACGCGCTTCAAATGCCGCACCAATCAGCAGGTATTTTCACAACCGTCCTCTTCTTCCCCCGACGTTTGCCATTTGCCTTTCTGAGTTTCCGTGACAGCTGCAGGCGAACACTCTCCTGCTGCATGTCTCAAATGGCCCAGCCTCCCCTCGTCTCCTCTTGCGCTCTGCTGCATTTGAGGCGCCCCAAAAGCAGTCCCCCTCTCCAATTTCCTCAATCCCCCTGACTGCAACAGGCCAACACTCCTCCTGACGCCGTATCAAGCCCAGCCTTCCCGCGTCTCCTCATGCGCTCTCTGCTGCAACACGCCATCGGCAGCAGCACAGCAGACTTCAAGGTACACACACACGTCTCACGAAAAGCTAGCGCTGCGCAACTCCCAATCATTGCTAGTTCCAGATGTCTGTGCTGCTCCTGATCGTTGCCTTCTCATTTTTTAGGGCGCCTCAAAATTAGAATCCTCACCCAATCAATGCTAGTTCCAGATGTCTGTGCTGCTCCTGATCGTTGCCTTATCATTTTTGAGGCGCCGCAGAATTAGAATCCTCACCCAATCAATGCTAGTTCCAGATGTCTGGGCTGCTCCTGATCGTTGCCTTATCGTTTTTGAGGCGCCGCAAAATTAGACTCCTCACCCAATCAATGCTAGTTCCAGATGTCTGTGCTGCTCCTGATCATTGCCATGTCATCTCTATATGTTGCCCTCCTGGCATGCTCGCGTGTTCCATTTCGTTGGCTCACCATCTTTGCCTGCTTCCCTCCCCTTGCTGCATCCCCTGTTCTGCTTTCCCCATCCTGCTGCCCCTGTGTAACTGGCTCTTGGCATATCGCTGGCTGTGTTTTGACTGTTTTTTGGCATATCGCTGGCTGTGTTGTGACTGGCTCTTGGCATGTTGCTGCAAGCAGAAGCTGCTGGAAGGGCCCGTGAAGAAGTATGCCAAGGTGTTCCAACAATACGCGTCAGGGAAGCAAAAGGCCAACCAGATTCAGTGTAAGTGTTTTACATTTACCCCTTGTGACTACCTTTTCCATCTGTTGCTGCCGTTGCTGCTGGTTGCTCTCCTTTCCACCTCTTTGACTTCTCACCCGTACATGGAGCACATTCATGTATGAGGAGTCTATTTTTTAGGCGCCTCAAAAATAGCCACCTCTTTGACTTCTCACCCGTACATGGAGCACATTCATGTCTCCCTTTTGCTGCTCTGCGCCCTTTGCCGCCCGCAGATCTCTTCGGAGCTCAGGAGTTTGCGGAGTCGCGTCGGCACCCACAGGGCCTGCTTGCTGCAGTCTTTAGAGCTCTCTATGACCTCGATGTGGGTCTCGTTCCCATGCCTGTCTTGCTGCCTTCATGCTGGTTATTATTGCTGCCCTTGTTCTGCTTCCTTTTCCTTGTCTTCGCACTCTGCAACCTCGATGTGAGCCTTTTTTCCATGCTGCTCCCTGTCTTGCTGCCTTTATGCTGCTGATAGCTGTCATTGGTGTGTTTCTCCTTGTCTTTATAGTCTCGATCTGAGACTCCTTTCCGTGTTCCCATCCTGCTTGCCTTCTCCCAACCCAATGCAGCTAATGCCTGTCGGTTCCTTGGGTTTTCTACCATCACCTGAACTTTGCTCCCCCCCCCTTCTGTATCCCACGTCTTTCGGTGTCTCGACGGATGCAGGTAGTAGACGAGCCCATGTTCTTCAAGTGGCAGGACGACACCAAGGTTGCATTTTTTATGTGCCTAAAATCTCCCTCATCCCCCCCCCTCCCTCCCGCCCCCCGGGTGTCCTTGTGTCACTGGAGCAGGTAGTGGACGAGCCCATGTTCTTCAAGTGGCAGGACGACAACAAGGACCCGACGCCGGGCAAGCAAAAGGTGCGTGGCAGTGCTGCTTTGTAGATGGATGGATGAAGTGCAATTTACAGAGGGATGGAGAAGCAGGTCTCGGGAGTTCCAGGCGTTCCCTTCAAATGCATGCTCTTTCCTTTCTACCCTTTGCATGTGTCCCCTTTGTTCAGGCATACTTGGACGTGCGCAATTTCCTTAATTGGCTAAGCACAGCACCGGAGGAGGGCATGGAGGAAAATGGAGCTAGTGGTGAAGAGGATTCATAAAGGCAATTGGCCACGTCCCATGGCTTTAGAGAGCCATGGATGGTTTCCTGTGAAGGCAAATGCTTGCATCTGGGCTTCCGTTGTCGATGTGCCTAAAGCAGCCCCAAGGCTCTACTGGTCCATGCCACTTCTGTTCTACTCACATCGTTGTTTGTACCTAATTTGGTCAACCTATGCATTCCTGCGAGTTTAGAGACGGTACAAGCGGACGGAGTACAGTTCTGATTTATATTGCATCGGAGATGCCCAGGTGGAAGTCCTGCGACGGTTCTTGTCGTGCAACCCACCTTTGGTTTTCGCCTGCGTTTACAGCACGGCTGTCCTCACGGTTCGTGCGACGCTTACGTGATTGCACAAGTCGCATACGTCGTCATGCTGCACGCTGCGAGCCCCTCACAATGTCGCCAAGGCATCCTTCTTACGCGAAAAGCCTTTGCGAATAACGAGATCCGTCGCTGCATCGTAGCTCGTCGCAATCGTGCCTGGTGTTTCCCCAACCACCTCAACCGTACGTGTCCCAACTTCCGCCTGCTGTCTTTGAAGCCGCCTCGTCGGAACTGTGTGGAGGGATAACCCGCCAGGCACCAGCCCTTTTTAGCCGCTTGCGCCAAAGTTGCGCGCGAAACGCCTGCGCCTGCACTCTCGCTGGTTGCGCGGCCATCCCAGGGTCCTCTCCTCCCAGGTCCGGCGGTTTCATTTCGGGACTTTCCACGTGGCCTTGATTTTCCCGTCGCCCCTGCGGAGCTTTGCGCCTGGTCCTAAAAATGCCCTGCTTGCTTCCTTGCGCGTGCGCAGAACGACGGGCGGAAAGGCCAGAATCCATGGTTTCCTTACTTTCTCCACCACACCACACCACAACGCGCCATATAAAAACACACGAAACCACACGAAACCACACCAGGGAGTAGAAAAAGGAACAAGGCTTGGTACTGTACGTACTACCGACCGCGTTGTTAGTTATGTTTGTAATCCTTCTTCCCCCTCACGAAACACCGTCAGTCAGCAAGCAGAGCAGGCCCATTGGTTTTGATTTCCTGAACAGCAACCCGCATCAGGCAACTAGCACCCAGCTCAGCAAACCCTAAAGTTCATTCCGTGCCGCCGCCGAGCTGATACTTCGCAGCCATTTCTGCTCGAGAGCTCAACGATTAGCTGTTCGCGAGATAATAGCGGTGTAGCTGGAGGTCTTTCGTTTAATGCGCGAATTAGCTGCCTAGAATAGACGACCTTTTTTAGAAATAGCTCGCGAGGAGTTGGTCGTACCGTTTGTGCTGATCAGGAATCGAGCTTCCTTTTACAATGGAGCGCTTATTATGTAGACCCTGTTTACCCTCTAGAGAAGAACGTACATGATATGACGCTCGTCTAGGCTCCTTAAATACGTTTTTTTCTTTCTTTTTCCTGGAAGGAGACGCAGCTTTAGACGAAGGCACTTCAAGCGGGGCAAAGACATACTATCAGCATCGGCGCTTCTGGCGGGAAATCTTCGTCCTTCTTCGACATAGCTAGGCGGCATTACTCGCGATGCTTTCGTCACTTGCTTTCTCGCATGACTGTTCGCGAGCCACGTAACGACAGACATCCGCAAGCGGTCGTAGGGAGGGTTACCAGCTGCCGCCATGAACAGGTGCGAGTTTCGCCACGAAGCAGTTGTGCGACTGTCTCCGTGAACAGGTGTGCAACTGTCTCCGTCTGTAGCTAGCGATGGCGCCTTGAACAGTCGCGCTAAGCACCAGTTCTCTCCATTTCAGGCGCATTATAGGTCGTTGCGTTACAGCCTCACTTTTGACGAGAGCACCAGACCTAACTGCTCAGCTCGGTGATTCCAGCGGACACGTAACAACTCAAGAAATCTTAGGCCTCTAGTCTCCACAGGTTGCGGTATTAGGTCGCATCCTGTAGAAGCATTTCGTTTCAGGTTTCCTTTCCGTGTCTCTCGGTATTAGGTCATGACCGTCATGCCCTTCAATTCGGTTCCGGGGGTCCTTTAGCCCAACTGACTCGTATTTCCTTCGCGTTAGCCGGGTAGGTGATCGACGGATTGGAGAAGTCGTTAAGCTGACTGAAGCTGCTGTGGGCGTGCGTGCAGGTACAAGGTGATCAAGCAGATGGGCGATGGGACGTACGGCACAGTCTGGAAGGCCATGAATCTCCACACCAATGAAATCGTGAGCTCTCGATATGATTTGGCTCGATTTGACTTTCCAGTCGACTCAGAAGTCGTCGCTGTCTGGAAGGCCTCGAATCTCCACACGAATGAAATCGTGAGCATTCGAGATGGCTTTTGAGTCGACTCGGATGTCATTGCTGAAAGTGAAAGTGAGTGAAAGTGAAAGTGTCCCCTCCACGCCATAGAAAGTGAGCGATTCAGGGGCTTGCCGTTCTCGCAGCGTCCTTCTGGTTGGTCAGCTGCCTTCTCGCACCGTCCTTTTTGTTCGCTAGTTCGGTGAACTGCGTCGGCGTAAGCTGCGGGATTGGCATATTTCTTAACCCTCACTGTATGGGCCTACGAGCAGTCTCGTGTCACTGTTACACCTCCACCCCTCCCCTCCGATTCTGTCCCCCTACACCTCCTCCCTCCCCTCCCTCCGTTTCGTGGGAGGTGTGCTCAGTGCCCTCCTTGCACCTTCTCCTCCCCCTCCCTTGTCGTCCCCTCCTCCCGCCCACCCTCACTGCTTTTCGATTGCAGGTGGCGGTGAAGACGACGAAGCGCAAGTTCTACTCGTGGGAAGAATGCATGAGCCTGAGAGAGGAGGACAAGGTGTCTTGTCGTACTCACTCCTCTCCCGCTCCGTTCTGTCTCCCTCGCACCATTTTTGAGTCGACTCAAAAGTCATCTCCCTCGCACCATGCCTTGTCGCTGTGCAGGTGGCGGTGAAGAAGATGAAGCGCAAGTTCTTCTCGTGGGAAGAATGCATGAGCCTGAGAGGGGTCAAGGCGTCTCGTCTTACTCCCCCTTCCCCCCCACCCCCCATTTCCCTCTTCCGCACACCGTTCGATGCCTCATTGCAGGTGGCGGTGAAGAAGATGAAGCGCAAGTTCTACTCGTGGGAAGAATGCATGAGCCTGAGAGAGGTCAAGGTAGGCGTTAGAGAAGCGGAGGAGGGGTGCATGAGCTAGGCCGCTCGAGCGGAGCACTCGCAAGAGCTACAGTCGACGTGGTCGTGATTGTCTTACTGCACTTATACGCTCCCTTCGTAATCTCGCCCTGTTTACCTTTTTTCCGGCAGTCTGCGTTTTCCAACTCACACCCCCCCCCCGCCCCACCCTTCTCCCCCCCCCCCCCCCTGCTCTCCCCCTTGACCATCCGCCAGTTGCTGCACAAGCTGAACCACATTCCCTCTCCAATATTCCCTCCCCGCGCTTTCCCCCTTCACCATCCGCCAGTCCCTGCGCAAGCTGAACCACATTCTCCGCTCCCCTCCCCCGTCCCGCGCCCCCCGTTCCCACCCCCCCCTCCCCCTCCCCCCGCCAGTTGCTGCGCAAGCTGAACCACAGCAACATCTTGCGGCTGAAGGAGGCTAACACCTCTTCGCTCTCCGTCCCTGCCCTCTCCCTCCACTCCCTCCCCGCTCCCCCGCCAGTCCTTGCGCAAGCTGAACCATAGCAACATCGTGCGGCTGAAGGAGGCTAACACCTCTTCGCTCTCCATCCCTGCCCTCTCCCCCCACTCCCTCCCCGCTCCCCTCACCGTCCGCCAGTCCTTGCGCAAGCTGAACCACAGCAACATCGTGTGGCTGAAGGAGGCTAACACCTCTTCGCTCTCCGTCCCTGCCCTCTCCCCCCACTCCCTCCGCGCTCCCCCGCCAGTCCTTGCGCAAGCTGAACCACAGCAACATCGTGCGGCTGAAGGAGGTGATCCGCGAGAACAACGAGCTCTTCTTCATCTTCGAATACATGGTGAGAGACCCGTTGGCCTGCCAGCCTGCCTCCCTTCCCCCCGCGCCCTATGGGGAATGGCAATTTTGAGAGAACAACGAGCTCTTCTTCATCTTCGAGGACATGGTCATGCTCACCTGCCATGCCTGCTCCACTTCCCCCCCACTCCTCCCCACTCCTCCCCACTCCTCCCCACTCCTCCCCACTCCTCCCCCTCCTCCTACCGCTTGTCTTCATCTCATCTCATCTCCATCTTATGGTCCTGTCTCAAAAACTCCTCCTGATTCCCCCTCCCCTTTCCACTGGCCGTCACCCCGGTCCCGTCTTCTCCCCCTTCCCCTTCACTTCCCGGTCCACTCTTTCCTCTCCCCTTGCACCAACCTTTCTGTGTGCGCGACTACAACCATTATCAAGACTTTGACGGTCCGCCTTTTTCTCCCGCCCTGGAACCGAATCCCTTTCCCGTCTTACTGTGTGCAGGACTGCAATTTGTACCAAGTCATGAAGGACAGGGAGACGCTTGTCCCCGAGTCCTTACCACCCTTCCCTCCCCTTGTCCCTCCGTTGACCTGTTCTTTCCCTCACCCTTGGGCCAACCCTCCACCTCTGTGCGCAGGACTGCAATTTGTACCAAGTTATGAAGGACAGGGAGACGCTCTTCCCAGAGTCGAAAATACGCAGCTGGATGTACCAGGTACGCCGCCCTACCACTTTTGCAAAATAGATTCCTCCTGTCACGCCCTTTATACTGTCTTCTCTTGATCCTTCGAGAACACCTCTTTTTACGAGCTCCTGTGCGTTGGTAGATAACCCCCTCACTGTCAGTCACCCCTAAACCCCCCTCTTCCCCTTCCCCCCCTCTTCCCCTCCCCCCCTCCCCAATCCCCCAGGTGTTTGCAAGGCGAGCGTACATGGACAAGCGCGGGCACTTCCTCCGGGGCTTAAAGCCCGAGAACCTGCTGGTGACTAGGAGCGAGAGTGACTGTGCGCTTGTCATTCCTCCCATTCATTTGTGACTTCCCTTTCTCCCCCAACCCCCCCACCCTCCCCCTTCCCCTCCCCCCCTCCCCCCCCCCCCTGCCGCAGGTTCTACAAGGTCTGGCGTACATGCACAAGCATGGGTACTTCCACCGGGACTTAAAGCCCGAAAACCTGCTGGTGACGAAGGACGTCATCAAGGTGGCTGACTTCGGGCTGGCCAGGGAGGTGCGGTCGAGACCGCCCTTCACAGACTACGTGTCTACCAGATGGTATGCTGTGGGGGGGGGAGAGGGGGGGGACTTGGCAGAGGTATGCTGGTGATATGCTGTGGGCTTGAGACCTAGCTTGTGTGAGTCATCAAGGTGGCTGGCCAGGGAGGTGCGGTCGAGACCGCCCTTCACAGACTACGTGTCGACCAGATGGTACGCGCTGTGGGGGGTGGGGTCCTGGCCGTTTGTCATCCCCCCCGCTGCATGAAGGCGACTCCAAGTGGCTACGAGCGCGAATAAGGTGACTGCTGGTGACGAAGGACGTCATCCAGGGTGCTGACTATGGGATGGCCAGGGAGTCCGCTCCAGACCGCCCTTCACCGACTATGTGTCCACCAGACGGTACGCTGTGGGCTGTGCTTCCACTAGATGGTACGCTGAAGAGTGGAGTCCACGCAGTTGGATTGCTCTGGTCTCTGTGCTGCAATCCAGATGATATTGCTGTGTCAAAGGGGCACAGAGAACGACAGAGATACAGAGAATGACAGAGACACAGTGGCACAGGGTGTGTTTATGTCATTCCAGGTGCCATTGGGGCCTCTGCATCTTCCGGTGTCCTCTGTCTCACGCTCCGTTCCGCCCGGTGCTCCCACCTGTTCCACCCACCCAATGGGCAGGTACCGAGCGCCAGAGGTGCTGCTGCAGTCAACCGTTTACAACGCCCCCATTGGTGCGTACTTTGTTCCATCAACGGCGATTTATGTTCTTCTGACTGGCAACTGCCACCATGCACCCTGTGCATCTTCTAATCACGGAGCCATAAACTGCCTGTCACTCATCGTGCCTTGGCATATCCATGCGTGCGTCCACCCCATACCCATGCCACGTCCACTCGCAACAAGCCTATCACCTTGGGCAAGCAGCCCATATCCCACCTTGTCTCGCTTCCCCTCCGTTATCTTGCCGCTCACCGGATCCCCCCCCTTGCCTCTCTCCCATCATTTCGTGCAGACATGTGGGGGATCCGGGCATAATGGCGGAGCTATTCTCCCCCTGCTTCTAGTCCTTCTCAACCCCCTCGTTTCATTCTTCTCCTCCTCCCCCCTTTCCTCTCCCCTTTCCTCCACCCTTCCCCTTCTCCCATGCAGACATGTGGGCCATCAGGGGCATCATGGCGGAGCTCTTCTCCCTGCGCCCCTCGTCTCCACACCACCCCTCCCCTCGTCTCACCCTGTTCCCCCACCTCCCCCCTACACCCCACCCCCCCGCCTCACGTCATGCAGACATGTGGGCCATAGGGGGCATCATGGCGGAGCTCTTCTCCCTCCGCCCGCTGTTCCCTGGCGCCAGGTGAGGGCGCGACAGCAGATGAAAGGAGGGGGGGGCGTTTGGAAGCAAGGGAAGTTGGGGAATGAAATCTATGAAGAGAAGTAGGCCCCACGTCTGCAGTTTCATCTCAAGCCGGCATCTATGCTTGCTGCGTCTCTCCGTACTTTCCTGTGCATTTTGCAACTTTCTTTTCTTATGGTCTACTCTGTTTTTTCCTCGTTTTTTTTTTTTTTTTCATCCCTCGCCTTTTGTCATCCACCCTCCCATGCCGGCATCCCCCCCCCCCCCCCTCCCCCCTCGCAGTGAGATCGACGAGATTGTGAAGATCTGTTCAGTAATCGGCACGCCCACCGTGCACACGTGGCCGCAGGGCCTCAAGCTCGCAGCTGCCATGAACTTTCGGTTCCCAGAGGTGAGTCGCAGAGGTATTCCCAGAGGTGAGTCGCAGAGGTATTCCCAGAGGTGAGTCGCAGAGGTATTCCCAGAGGTGAGTCGCAGAGGTATTCCCAGAGGTGAGTCGCAGAGGTATTCCCAGAGGTGAGTCGCAGAGGTATTCCCAGAGGTGAGTCGCAGAGGTATCCCAGAGGTGAGTCGCAGAGGTATTCCCAGAGGTGAGTCGCAGAGGTATTCCCAGAGGTGAGTCGCAGAGGTATTCCCAGAGGTGAGTCGCAGAGGTATTCCCAGAGGTGAGTCGCAGAGGTATTCCCAGAGGTGAGTCGCAGAGGTATTCCAGAGTGAGTCGCAGAGGTATTCCCAGAGGTGAGTCGCAGAGGTATTCCCAGAGGTGAGTCGCAGAGGTATTCCAGAGGTGAGTCGCAGAGGTTCCCAGAGGTGAGTCGCAGAGGTATTCCCAGAGGTGAGTCGCAGAGGTATTCCAGAGGTGAGTCGCAGAGGTATTCCCAGAGGTGAGTCGCAGAGGTATTCCCAGAGGTGAGTCGCAGAGGTATTCCCAGAGGTGAGTCGCAGAGGTATTCCCAGAGGTGAGTCGCAGAGGTATTCCCAGAGGTGAGTCGCAGAGGTATTCCCAGAGGTGAGTCGCAGAGGTATTCCCAGAGGTGAGTCGCAGAGGTATTCCCAGAGGTGAGTCGCAGAGGTATTCCCAGAGGGTGAGTCGCAGAGGTATTCCCAGAGGTGAGTCGCAGAGGGTATTCCCAGAGGTGAGTCGCCAGAGGTATTTCCCAGAGGTGAGTCGCAGAGGTATTCCCAGAGGTGAGTCGCAGAGGTATTCCCAGAGGTGAGTCGCAGAGGTATTCCCAGAGGTGAGTCGCAGAGGTATTCCCAGAGGTGAGTCGCAGAGGTATTCCCAGAGGTGAGTCGCAGAGGTATTCCCAGAGGTGAGTCGCAGAGGTATTCCCAGAGGTGAGTCGCAGAGGTATTCCCAGAGGTGAGTCGCAGAGGTATTCCCAGAGGTGAGTCGCAGAGGGTATTCCCAGAGGTGAGTCGCAGAGGTATTCCCAGAGGTGAGTCGCAGAGGTATTCCCAGAGGTGAGTCGCAGAGGTATTCCCAGAGGTGAGTCGCAGAGGTATTCCCAGAGGTGAGTCGCAGAGGTATTCCCAGAGGTGAGTCGCAGAGGTATTCCCAGAGGTGAGTCGCAGAGGTAATTCCCAGAGGTGAGTCGCAGAGGTATTCCCAGAGGTGAGTCGCAGAGGTATTCCCAGAGGTGAGTCGCAGAGGTATTCCCAGAGGTGAGTCGCAGAGGTATTCCCAGAGGTGAGTCGCAGAGGTATTCCCAGAGGTGAGTCGCAGAGGTATTCCCAGAGGTGAGTCGCAGAGGTATTCCCAGAGGTGAGTCGCAGAGGGTATTCCCAGAGGTGAGTCGCAGAGGTATTCCCAGAGGTGAGTCGCAGAGGTATTCCCAGAGGTGAGTCGCAGAGGTATTCCCAGAGGTGAGTCGCAGAGGTTATTCCCAGAGGTGAGTCGCAGAGGTATTCCCAGAGGTGAGTCGCAGAGGTATTCCCAGAGGTGAGTCGCAGAGGTATTCCAGAGGTGAGTCGCAGAGGTATTCCCAGAGGTGAGTCGCAGAGGTATTCCCAGAGGTGAGTCGCAGAGGTATTCCCAGAGGTGAGTCGCAGAGGTATTCCCAGAGGTGAGTCGCAGAGGTATTCCCAGAGGAGGTGTATTGAGGTCGCAGAGGTATTCCCAGAGGTGAGTCGCAGAGGTATTCCCAGAGGTGAGTCGCAGAGGTATTCCCAGAGGTGAGTCGCAGAGGTATTCCCAGAGGTGAGTCGCAGAGGTATTCCCAGAGGTGAGTCGCAGAGGTATTCCCAGAGGTGAGTCGCAGAGTATTCCCAGAGGTGAGTCGAGAGGTATTCCCAGAGGTGAGTCGCAGAGGTATCCAGAGGTGAGTCGCAGAGGTATTCCCAGAGTGAGTCGCAGAGGTATTCCCAGGTGAGTCCGCAGAGGTATTCCCAGAGGTGAGTCGCAGAGGTATTCCCAGAGGTGAGTCGCAGAGGTATTCCCAGAGGTGAGTCGCAGAGGTATTCCCAGAGGTGAGTCGCAGAGGTATTCCCAGAGGTGAGTCGCAGAGGTATTCCCAGAGGTGAGTCGCAGAGGTATTCCCAGAGGTGAGTCGCAGAGGTATTCCCAGAGGTGAGTCGCAGAGGTATTCCCAGAGGTGAGTCGCAGAGGTATTCCCAGAGGTGAGTCGCAGAGGTATTCCCAGAGGTGAGTCGCAGAGGTATTCCCAGAGGTGAGTCGCAGAGGTATTCCCAGAGGTGAGTCGCAGAGGTATTCCCAGAGGTGAGTCGCAGAGGTATTCCCAGAGGTGAGTCGCAGAGGTATTCCCAGAGGTGAGTCGCAGAGGTATTCCCAGAGGTGAGTCGCAGAGGTATTCCCAGAGGTGAGTCGCAGAGGTATTCCCAGAGGTGAGTCGCAGAGGTATTCCCAGAGGTGAGTCGCAGAGGTATTCCCAGAGGTGAGTCGCAGAGGTATTCCCAGAGGTGAGTCGCAGAGGTATTCCCAGAGGTGAGTCGCAGAGGTATTCCCAGAGGTGAGTCGCAGAGGTATTCCCAGAGGTGAGTCGCAGAGGTATTCCCAGAGGTGAGTCGCAGAGGTATTCCCAGAGGTGAGTCGCAGAGGTATTCCCAGAGGTGAGTCGCAGAGGTTCCCAGAGGTGAGTCGCAGAGGTATTCCCAGAGGTGAGTCGCAGAGGTATTCCCAGAGGTGAGTCGCAGAGGTATTCCCAGAGGTGAGTCGCAGAGGTATTCCCAGAGGTGAGTCGCAGAGGTATTCCCAGAGGTGAGTCGCAGAGGTATTCCCAGAGGTGAGTCGCAGAGGTATTCCCAGAGGTGAGTCGCAGAGGTATTCCCAGAGGTGAGTCGCAGAGGTATTCCCAGAGGTGAGTCGCAGAGGTATTCCCAGAGGTGAGTCGCAGAGGTATTCCCAGAGGTGAGTCGCAGAGGTATTCCCAGAGGTGAGTCGCAGAGGTATTCCCAGAGGTGAGTCGCAGAGGTATTCCCAGAGGTGAGTCGCAGAGGTATTCCAGAGGTGAGTCGCAGAGGTATTCCCAGAGGTGAGTCGCAGAGGTATTCCCAGAGGTGAGTCGCAGAGGTATCCCAGAGGTGAGTCGCAGAGGTATCCCAGAGGTGAGTCGCAGAGGTATTCCCAGAGGTGAGTCGCAGAGGTATTCCCAGAGGTGAGTCGCAGAGGTATTCCCAGAGGTGAGTCGCAGAGGTATTCCCAGAGGTGAGTCGCAGAGGTATTCCCAGAGGTGAGTCGCAGAGGTATTCCCAGAGGTGAGTCGCAGAGGTATTCCCAGAGGTGAGTCGCAGAGGTATTCCCAGAGGTGAGTCGCAGAGGTATTTCCCCAGAGGTGAGTCGCAGAGGTTTATTCCCCAGAGGTGAGTCCGCAGAGGTATTCCCAGAGGTGAGTCGCAGAGGTATTCCCAGAGGTGAGTCGCAGAGGTAATTCCGCAGAGGTGAGTCGCAGAGGTATTCCCAGAGGTGAGTCGCAGAGGTATTCCCAGAGGTGAGTCCGCAGAGGTATTCCAGAGGTGAGTCGCAGAGGTATTCCCAGAGGTGAGTCGCAGAGGTATTCCCAGAGGTGAGTCGCAGAGGTATTCCCGCCAGAGGTGAAGTCGCAGAGGTATTCCCAGAGGTGAGTCGCAGAGGTATTCCCAGAGGTGAGTCGCAGAGGTATTCCCAGATGCGTGAGTCGCAGAGGTATTCCCAGAGGTGAGTCGCAGAGGTATTCCCAGAGGTGAGTCGCAGAGGTATTCCCAGAGGTGAGTCGCAGAGGTATTCCCAGAGGTGAGTCGCAGAGGTATTCCCAGAGGTGAGTCGCAGAGGTATTCCCAGAGGTGAGTCGCAGAGGTATTCCCAGAGGTGAGTCGCAGAGGTATTCCCAGAGGTGAGTCGCAGAGGTATTCCCAGAGGTGAGTCGCAGAGGTATTCCCAGAGGTGAGTCGCAGAGGTATTCCCAGAGGTGAGTCGCAGAGGTATTCCCAGAGGTGAGTCGCAGAGGTATTCCCAGAGGTGAGTCGCAGAGGTATTCCCAGAGGTGAGTCGCAGAGGTATTCCCAGAGGTGAGTCGCAGAGGTATTCCCAGAGGTGAGTCGCAGAGGTATTCCCAGAGGTGAGTCGCAGAGGTATTCCCAGAGGTGAGTCGCAGAGGTATTCCCAGAGGTGAGTCGCAGAGGTATTCCCAGAGGTGAGTCGCAGAGGTATTCCCAGAGGTGAGTCGCAGAGGTATTCCCAGAGGTGAGTCGCAGAGGTATTCCCAGAGGTGAGTCGCAGAGGTATTCCCAGAGGTGAGTCGCAGAGGTATTCCCAGAGGTGAGTCGCAGAGGTATTCCCAGAGGTGAGTCGCAGAGGTATTCCCAGAGGTGAGTCGCAGAGGTATTCCCAGAGGTGAGTCGCAGAGGTATTCCCAGAGGTGAGTCGCAGAGGTATTCCCAGAGGTGAGTCGCAGAGGTATTCCCAGAGGTGAGTCGCAGAGGTATTCCCAGAGGTGAGTCGCAGAGGTATTCCCAGAGGTGAGTCGCAGAGGTATTCCCAGAGGTGAGTCGCAGAGGTATTCCCAGAGGTGAGTCGCAGAGGTATTCCCAGAGGTGAGTCGCAGAGGTATTCCCAGAGGTGAGTCGCAGAGGTATTCCCAGAGGTGAGTCGCAGAGGTATTCCAGAGGTGAGTCGCAGAGGTATTCCCAGAGGTGAGTCGCAGAGGTATTCCCAGAGGTGAGTCGCAGAGGTATTCCCAGAGGTGAGTCGCAGAGGTATTCCCAGAGGTGAGTCGCAGAGGTATTCCCAGAGGTGAGTCGCAGAGGTATTCCCAGAGGTGAGTCGCAGAGGTATTCCCAGAGGTGAGTCGCAGAGGTATTCCCAGAGGTGAGTCGCAGAGGTATTCCGTCCCAGAGGTGAGTCGCAGAGGTATTCCCAGAGGTGAGTCGCAGAGGTATTCCCAGAGGTGAGTCGCAGAGGTATTCCCAGAGGTGAGTCGCAGAGGTATTCCCAGAGGTGAGTCGCAGAGGTATTCCCAGAGGTGAGTCGCAGAGGTATTCCCAGAGGTGAGTCGCAGAGGTATTCCCAGAGGTGAGTCGCAGAGGTATTCCCAGAGGTGAGTCGCAGAGGATCCAGAGGTGAGTCGCAGAGGTATTCCCAGAGGTGAGTCGCAGAGGTATTCCCAGAGGTGAGTCGCAGAGGTATTCCCAGAGGTGAGTCGCAGAGGTATTCCAGAGGTGAGTCGCAGAGGTATTTCCCAGAGGTGAGTCGCAGAGGTATTCCCAGAGGTGAGTCGCAGAGGTATTCCCAGAGGTGAGTCGCAGAGGTATTCCCAGAGGTGAGTCGCAGAGGTATTCCCAGAGGTGAGTCGCAGAGGTATTCCCAGAGGTGAGTCGCAGAGGTATTCCCAGAGGTGAGTCGCAGAGGTATTCCCAGAGGTGAGTCGCAGAGGTATTCCCAGAGGTGAGTCGCAGAGGTATTCCCAGAGGTGAGTCGCAGAGGTATTCCCAGAGGTGAGTCGCAGAGGTATTCCCAGAGGTGAGTCGCAGAGGTATTCCCAGAGGTGAGTCCGCAGAGGTATTGCCCCAGAGGTGAGTCGCAGAGGTATTCCCAGAGGTGAGTCGCGAGGTATTCCCAGAGGTGAGTCGCAGAGGTATTCCCAGAGGTGAGTCGCAGAGGTATTCCCAGAGGTGAGTCGCAGAGGTATTCCAGAGGTGAGTCGCGAGGTATTCAGAGGTGAGTCGCAGAGGTATTCCCAGAAGGTGAGTCGGCAGAGGTATTCCCAGAGGTGAGTCGCAGAGGTATTCCCAGAGGTGAGTCGCAGAGGTATTCCCAGAGGTGAGTCGCAGAGGTTATTCCCAGAGGTGAGTCGCAGAGGTATTCCCAGAGGTGAGTCGCAGAGGTATTCCCAGAGGTGAGTCGCAGAGGTATTCCCAGAGGTGAGTCGCAGAGGTATTCCCAGAGGTGAGTCGCAGAGGTATTCCCAGAGGTGAGTCGCAGAGGTATTCCCAGAGGTGAGTCGCAGAGGTATTCCCAGAGGTGAGTCGCAGAGGTATTCCCAGAGGTGAGTCGCAGAGGTATTCCCAGAGGTGAGTCGCAGAGGTATTCCCAGAGGTGAGTCGCAGAGGTATTCCCAGAGGTGAGTCGCAGAGGTATTCCCAGAGGTGAGTCGCAGAGGTATTCCCAGAGGTGAGTCGCAGAGGTATTCCCAGAGGTGAGTCGCAGAGGTATTCCCAGAGGTGAGTCGCAGAGGTATTCCCAGAGGTGAGTCGCAGAGGTATTCCCAGAGGTGAGTCGCAGAGGTATTCCCAGAGGTGAGTCGCAGAGGTATTCCCAGAGGTGAGTCGCAGAGGTATTCCCAGAGGTGAGTCGCAGAGGTATTCCCAGAGGTGAGTCGCAGAGGTATTCCCAGAGGTGAGTCGCAGAGGTATTCCCAGAGGTGAGTCGCAGAGGTATTCCCAGAGGTGAGTCGCAGAGGTATTCCCAGAGGTGAGTCGCAGAGGTATTCCCAGAGGTGAGTCGCAGAGGTATTCCCAGAGGTGAGTCGCAGAGGTATTCCCAGAGGTGAGTCGCAGAGGTATTCCCAGAGGTGAGTCGCAGAGGTATTCCCAGAGGTGAGTCGCAGAGGTATTCCCAGAGGTGAGTCGCAGAGGTATTCCCAGAGGTGAGTCGCAGAGGTATTCCCAGAGGTGAGTCGCAGAGGTATTCCCAGAGGTGAGTCTCAGAGGCGTGGCTCGCGCACCTTCCCACTCGCCTGGTTCTCTATGGGACTCCTTAGGAGAAAGTGCCGCAGGGCCTCAAGCTCACAGCTGCCATGAACTTCCGATTCCCAGAGGTATGGCCTGGCCCGCACACCTCCCTCCCTCCCCTTATGGACATCCAATCAGCCTCCCCCGGAGCCATCAACCTCGCGACGCTGCTCTGCCCCTGATTCTCCCCCCCTTTTCCCCCCTCCAATCCCGAATCTCACGGTCGTTCTGCCCTCTTTCGCCCCCCTTTTCCCCCCTCCAATTAGACATGGGCATGAGCCGAGCCGGCTCGCCGTCGAGCCTGGCTCGGCTCGAGTCTAGCCGGGCACCAAACATGCCTGGCTCGGCTCGCATTTCTGTGGGCGAGCCAGGGCTGGCTCGACTCGCCTAGCATGCGCTTAAGCCAACAGTAGTGTGGGTGGAGCCTATGCAAGTGCGCGTTGTTAAGAGTGGCGCGGGCTGCTTAAGATTTCTCGCGCGAACTAACCTAATGAGATACTCCTAGGCGCACAGAATTCTAGGGTTCGCGAAATTGACGGGAAGTGGATTGTGAGGAGGAAGGAGGGTGCAAGAGGTTAGGTTGGAAGTTGTAGATGCAGTAGTGTGCAGTGCGGTTGAGCGGGGCAAAAGGGTTGGATGTGTTTCTGGTCGTCAAAGTTTGGGGTTGCGACTGGTTGAATTCGCGAGGTCGCAATGTCGCGGGAAAGAATTCCGCGTCAAACATTTTGGGCGAGCGTTTAGCGTTTACCCTTTAAACGCAGCGTTTAAACGATAAACGCTGCACCGCTTGAGCGATTTCGGGAACATAGACTAGGAGTTGTTGGCGGGAGAGAGAAACGGGAGACACGTTTTGTCGAGGGGGAAATTTACCCTTGAAATCGAGTGGCGAGCCACCTGGCTCGAAATCAAGCCGGGGACGAGCCGGCTCGACCCCGGCTCGACGAGGACATTGTGTACGAGCCGAGTCGAGCCGGCTGGCTCGACCGAGCCGAGCCGGCTCGGCTCGAGTCGAGCCAGATCCCGAAAAGAAAGGCTCGGCTCGTCATTTTGGCGAGCCGAGCCGGATGTGGCTCGGCTTGTGCCCATGTCTACCTCCAATCCCGAATCTCACAGTCGTTCTGCCCTCTTTCGCCCCCCCCCATACCAGTACACGCCCATCCCGCTGTCAGGCCTCATCCCTTCCGCTTCCTCCGAGACCATCAACCTCATGACTCTGCTCTGCTCCTGGGACCTTCCCGTTTCTTCCCCCAATCCCATTCTTTTTCTGCCCTCCTCCTCGTTTTCCTTCCCAATATCCCCCCTCTTCTTGCCCTCTTCCCAGCAAACCTCCCCCCCGCCAGTAAACGCCCATCCCGTTATCCAAGTTGATCCCGCCAGCCTCCCCCGAAGCCATCAAACTCGTGACGCTGCTCTGCTCCTTCTGCCTTGCCCTCACTTCCCCCTCCCAAACCCCCCCCTTGTTCCCCCCCGCCAGTCATCCCACTGTCGAAGCTCATCCCATCAGCCTCGCCTGAGGCTATCGTCCTCATGACGCTGCTGTGCTCCTGATCCTCCTCCCGCTTCCCCTTCCCCTCCCTACAAGCCCAACCCCCCGCCAGTACACGCGCCACCCCCCGCTTTCTCCTGCTGTGCTCCTGATCCTCCCCCCGCTTTCCCTTCCCCTCCCTACACGCCCCTTCCCTCCCCTCTCCTCTCTCTTCCCTCCCCTACCCCCCCCGCCAGTACACGCCCACCCACTGTCGAAGCTCATCCCATCAGCCTCCCCCGAAGCCATCGACCTCATGACGCTGCTGTGCTCCTGGGACCCTGCCAGGAGGCCCACGCCGCGCAGTCGCTGCAACACCCCTTCTTTCTGGTGAGGTTGGAGCTGACCCTGAGAGATAAGTGGGGTTATTGTACTGGCGACAGGTCGTGACTCTGCTCTGCTCCTGGGACCCTGCGAGGAGGCCCACTGCCGCGCAGTCGCTGCAGCACCCGTTTTTCCTGGTGAGGTTGAACTGAGTAGTAAGTCTACTGGCGTCGGTGTGCTCGGGTGCGTGTGCTGTCGACACCTCATGACGCTGCTGTGCTGCTGGGACCCCGCGAGGAGTCCCACTGCCGGACAGCCGCTGCAGCACCGCTACTTCGTGGTGGGTTTGAGTGGGTGACGAGAAGGGAGATCAGGGGGCGGTTTGTGGGTAAGGTGACGCTGCTCTGCTCCTCGGACCCTGCCAGGCGTCCCACTGCTGCGCAGTCGCTACCTTTCTCCTGGTGCGTGAGAGGGTGGGGTTGGTGTATATAGGGCAGGGAGAGGAGATCGGCGGATCAAATGGGGCGAGAAAGGGGTGAGTGAGCCACATGACGCTGCTCTGCTCTGCTCTGCTCCTGGGACCCTGCCAGGAGACCAGCTGCCACGCTGACACTACAGCACCCGTTTTTCCTGGTGAATTTGAACTGAGTAGTAAGTCTGCTGTGGGGAGTGTGTTGGGGTTAGTGTGCCGGCTGCAACTCATGATGCTGCTCTCTGCTCCTGGGACCCTGCCAGGAGACCAACTGCCAGGTAGGCACTGCCAGCCGCTGGACCCACCCTGTCACGTCCCTGCACCTCCCCTCGTTCGCTCTCTTCCCCTTTCCCGTGCCTTCCCAACCCCCCTGCTGTTCCCAACCCCCCTGCTGTTCCCAACCCCCCTGCAGTTCCCAACCCCCCTGCTGTTCCCAACCCCCCTGTAGAGCAGCATTCAGGTTCCGCCAGTCATGCCGTCGTTCAATGGAGTCATTTTTTAGAATTCTCAAAATTCCGCCAGTCATGCCGTCGGTCGCGGAAGCCTGCGGCCACCAGCTGCAGCCACCCCGTGACATCCCTGCACCTCCCCTCACCTTTTGCCCTTTCCCCTTCCGCATCACTCTTCCCCTCTCGCGCCCCCCACCCCTCCCCCCCCCCCCCCCCGCACCCTTACAGAGCGGCATTCAGGTCCCCCCTGTCATTCCATCGCCCAAGCCTGCTGCCACCAGCTCCAGCCGCTCTCATCCCGTCACATCCCCGCACCTGCCCTCCCTGCCGCTTCCTTCCCCAATCCCCATGCCTTCCGTTCTTCTCCACCTCCCCTTTCCACTCTTGCCTCCCCTCCCTGCGGCTCCCTTCCCCAACCCCCTTCCCTTTTCCCCTTCTCCTCTTCCCCTTCCCCTTCCCCTCCCCCCCCTCTTCAGAGTGGCAGTCAGGTCCCGCCAGTCATGCCATCGCCCAAGCCTACTACCACCAATTCCAGCCGGACCCACCCCGTCACATCCCCGCACCTGCCCTCCCTGCCACTCACTTCCCCACCCTCTCTGCCTTCCCTCCGTCCCTTTTCCTTTCCCCCAACACAGAGTGGCATTCAGGTCCCGCCTGTCATGCCGTCGCCCAAGCCTGCTGCCACCAATTCCAGCCGCACGCACCCCGTCACATCCCCGCACCTGCCCTCCCTGCCGCAAGGCGCCAGCAAGCCCTACAGCCACCTGGACGAGCATCTAGACGAGTGGGAAGGGGCGCCGGGGCAGTCGGGGGGAAGTGGAATAGGAGGGGGAGGGGGAGGGGGAGGGGGGTACCTGCAACAGCCGCAGAAGCAGCCGCTGCAGCCGCACCTGCCACAGCAGCAGCAGCAGCAGGGGGGGTATCAGGGCCAGGATGGCTCTGGAGCAAGAGCAGCGGCTACGATGCTGGCGCAGAAGCAGCAGCTGCTGCAGCAGCAGCAGTTGCAGTTGCAGCAACAGCAGCTGCAGCAGCAGCAGTTGCAGCAACAACAGCAGTTGCAGCAGCAGCAGCAGCTGCAGAGTCAGCTGTCAGGAGTTGGGCTGGAGCAGCAGGGAGCAAGGAGAAACTCGGGCCAGTATGCGCAGCCGCAGCAGCAGATGGCTCAGCAGCCCATGGGGAAGCAGTTAGGAGGGGTGGTGGGAGGGCGGTCACAGGGGCAGTACGCGCAGCAGCAGCTGCAGCAGCAGCTTCAGCAGCAGTATCAGCAGCCGCACCCGCTTGATACAGAGCCGTCAGGGGTGGGTCTAGAGGCCCTAACACCAAGAACACGAACCCAGGTGCAGCAACAGCAGATGCACCAGCAGCAGCAGCAGCAGCAGCAGCAGCAGCCGTACTCGCAAATGCAGAAGAAACCACTGACTCTGCAGACTCAGCTCTCTGGAGTCAACCCTGCAGCACTGGAGACCCTAACCCCCCGCTCCCGTGCCCAGTACTACCAGCAGCAGCCGTTGCAGCCGCAGCTGTCAGGTGTAGGTCTCGACCCGCCAACCCCGCGCTCCCGGCAGCAGCAGCAGCAAGTGCAGTCACAATACCAGCAGCAGCAGGCCCTACAGTCGCAGCTATCAGGGAACCTGGCGGGTTGCAGTCTCAGCTGTCAGGGAACCTGGCGGGGTTGCAGTCGCAGCTATCAGGGAACCTGGGGGGTTGCAGTCTCAGCTGTCAGGGGTAGGCCTGGAGGCCATGACCCCCCGGTCAAGAACCCAGGCCCAGCAGCTTTTCCAGCAGCAGCAGATGATGCAGCAGATGCAGCAGCAGCAGCAGCAGCTAGAGTCGCAAGTCGCGGGTCAGGAGCAGGCACGTATGCGTGCCCGTGCCCCTCCCACCTTGCAACAGCCGCAGCAGTCTGTGGGGCAGGGGCAGGGACAGGAATACAGTATAGTCTCACCGCGCGCCATGCAATCTTTTCAAGATGGAGGGTATGCCGGGCCTGCGGGCCTGCCGGAGAATTTTTCGGGCAGACCGGACCCAATGCATATGGATGGAGGGGGGGGAGGGGGAGGGGAGGGGGAGGGGGAGGGGGGGCGGAGGGGGAGGGCATGGGAAGGGGTCTCAGGGTATGGGGTTTTTGGGGAGGAAGATTGGCTCGAAGAGTATGAGCATGAGGAGTCAACAGCAGGCTGCGGATGCTGGGGGAGGGGGAGGGGAGGAGGAGGGGGGCGGGAGGAGGAGGAGGTGGGCGGTTGGCGACGTTGCAAAGATATGGCAGCCAATTATTGGGTGGGTAATTGTTTTTAGGTTCCTCAAAATTAGGCTTTTTACTGGGTGAGTGGTAAGGGATCCTGGAGTACTACCGGTGTGCGTTTGGAGTGCTCTCCGTTGCGCCGCGGCAGGCAAGCATTTTTCAACGAATGAAAATATCTCAGTCAAAGGAAAAGGCTTGGTGTACCACACTGCACCTAGCATTGTCACTGGTGAGTTGACTCAACAATCTCCTCCACCCCGCCCCCACCCACGGGACAACCCTTTCCCCATCTGCCCACTGTCTCGCTGCTTCCTCACAGGCATATCACGGCACTCGAATGCATCTGCCTCTTCCTCTCGGTCCAGTGCTGCAGGAGCTGCCCCCATGGTACGCTGTCCTCTCCCCATCCCCACCTCCCCCCCCCCCTTCCCCCCCCAAACAACCCCCCTCCATCCGCCTACTCTCTCTGTCTCTCGTCCTCTCGGTCCAGTGCTGCAGGAGCTGCCCCCATGGTAAAGTGTTCTCCCCCTCCCCCCCACTTCAGGTTCCTTTTCTTGTTTTTCTTTTGTTTCCTCTGCTGCCCGATTTCTCTTGTTTCCTACCTTCATCATCATGCCTTCTTTTTCCTCCCTTTTCCTCTCTGTTTCCTCTTTCTTTTTCCTTCTCTTTCCTCTTTTTTCCTCATCATCTCCATGCCACGTCATCATCATCACATCAGGATATGCAGATGGACCCAACGCCTCACATGGCAGCACCATCGTCTCGCAAATCAGCAGCAGGTGAGACATGCAACCCTAATCATGCCCCTTGGGTCAACCGTCAACTTAAGAGGGGTCTTCTAGGCTACTATTTCTTTTGTCAGCATAACAGTGTGCTGCTAGCACGGGCAGAATCAGCAGCAACGTCCACGGCAGCATCAGGTGTCACATCGTCTCTCCACCCTCTCTTCCCATTTATCTGCCCCCCCCTCTCCCCCCACCGCCCCCCGCAACTCGTCCCCCTAGCCCTAGCACGAGCAGGGTCAGCCGCAGCGTCCATGGCAACAGCAGGCGCCACATCCCCCCCCCCCCCTCCTCAACTCTTTCCACTCGTTCTCTTCCCATTTATCTGTCCTCCCCCCCTCCCAACTCCCCCCCCCTCAGCCCTAGCATGGGCAGGGTCAGCCGCAGCATCCATGGCAGCAGCAGGGCCCCCCTCGCTCCACTTTTGAGTCGACTCAAATGTCAACTCTCCCCACTCATTCCCTCCCCGTTTATCTGCCCCCCCTCCACCTCCCCCCCCCCCCCCCCCCCCCTCCCCTCCTCCCTCCTGCCTCCTCTCCTCAGCGCTAGCACGAGCAGGGTCAGCCGCAGCATCCATGGCAACAGCAGGACCCGCCTCGCCCCACGACCCCAGTGCAGGCTACTCCAGGTATGGGTGTCCTCGGGGCCACTTATGCAGCATACGTGGCAGTGTGCATGTTGTGCATATCGCATATGTAAACATGCACGAGTTTCCAGACGTCTCAAAAATGTGTACCCATGTGTACCCATGTGTTAGCTCCACCCACCGCTGTTCCATTCCAACTCACCCTGCCTCCCACCACCACCAGAATGGGGACCTACCCAGCAAGCCACGCGCAGGATGCATATGCGTATGGCAATGGGCCAGCAGACATGGGCGGAGGGGAGTACTATGGCGGGGGTGGCGGCCAGATGGACATGATGGGGGGAGGCATGGGGGAGGGGTTGGGGGAGGTGGGGTGGCAGGACCAGGAGGCAATATGGCTCGAAACGGAAGATACCCAATGGATTCGGGGGGTTATTCGGTGCATTGAGAGGTCGGCTCGTTGATTTGATTTGCTGCTGTACTTCTTGGCTGCAACTGCCATTGCTGGTGACTCGGAGGTCGGTTTCTGCTGCTGCTGCGTGTTGAAGGAGCAAGTACCAGCGGTCCCTTCAGCCAATACCAGCAGCCCCCTGCTCACTAACCACCACATCATCTCACTACTTACAACAACCCTCCAGCTTATCCATTTAATGAATTTTCTGGGGTCCCTTGTCTTGAACATGGCTGAGTGTTGTGGCAATGCCACTTGTGGTTGCAGACATCTTTGTGCAGTACTGGAAGGTCAAGCAGGCTGTTTAATAGTCATTGTTATATGAGAGTATTGGCGTTTCTCCCTTTCAATGTTGACCACTGCTTGTAAGTTCGAAAAGCATATGAATCCATAGGGTATCTTCAAACGTGCAGAAGGGACGTCCTGAGGCCTCACAGTGCTGCCCAATGAACGCAAAAGAAACAACAATGGTCACCCGCTTTAGATTGAAAAATGCCAGCTAAGTAACCAGACTACCCTATATTGGCCCATTTCGACCGTGAAAGTTTTGCGCTCGATTCTGGATTACCCGCTTGAAAAAAAAACTGGGCTTGAAAAGGACTTCATGTGTATGATATGATGCGGTGGGCCATTACCGGGCAAAGTGAATCGCATGCCAAGCAAATCCCAGATTGTACACCTGGAGCACACCTAAGACCCAGCTGAAAACGTAGCCCAATCAGAAACCATCGCTCATTAGCGTTGGCACACGAGCAACGGCCCACTCAACGTGGGCCATGAACAGAGCCAGCAGTGCAGCGTCATCATGACAGCGGTGACGAACATGCGGCACAAGACGAAAGATGTGCGCCGCAACCGTTTTCACCACAAACTTCCAGACGCACTCGGAATAGCGCTCCGGCGAAGCTCAGCGAGCCTTTCGTTGAGCTCGCAAAGGTGCGTACGCCTTGTTGGGTTTGCTTGTGGCTTCAGCATCGCCGCATGAAACCGAACGCTGACTTGGCAGCGAAATGGAGTCGCGATGTCCTGATGCCAGGGGTCGTTCTCAACATCCGACAACCAACCAAGGAACAAACTCGAAAACGACTTCCCACAATCCACGCAGCAGTTTTTTTTGCGACACGAACCTTCAATTCGTAATGTAATAAATCTTAAGAACACGCATCTAACACTTGGAACTGAAATACAAATCCAAACCCTCACTACATTTCCCTGAGTATAAAAGGGAGCAAACCAAACCAGAGAAACTCACTCAACATCTCACCCGCCAACCACCACTCTGGTGCTACACCAGAGAAAATCACTCTCGCTTGAAAGCGCTGAAATTTAATACAGGGTAACTAAGTGAAAAACGACTCGCCAAAATATGCCACTCAAACCTACCCCGCAAAACATCAAAACGGTAACCTTCGTTCCCGTGCAAAAGGCCCAAATGCCCGTGACGATGCCGTGCGAAACCCCTGCGCGTTTCTGTCTACCGGCACCTTGAAAAGCTGTGTTTCTCTGTCAGGCTCAAGGTGTATCGTCGCATCGCATCGCACTGCTTGTGTCAGACCTTGCCCCTCTTGCATATTCTTCAGTACAATTCCTCCCATCCCTTGTGCGCTTCTGACACAAACAATCTCCGCTAGAATCAATTCGGCGGAAAACAATGCGAGTGCATTGCGCGCAGAAGAACACCCTTGCAGTGCCAATTGGATTTTTTGTCAGTCGTCAGATCCGGGTTCCCATCCAAAGCAACCCAGATTTTGAAGAGTTCGAGTTATTTTCGCTCTGCTAGGCCCCGTTCCCGTATCCACCGAGATTTCCTCCCAGTCAAACCCGTGTGCCTTAAAGACCTACCGATTCACTTTCGTGTTTACGGAAACAAAACCCTGTAAACCCCGTGGGTTTCAAAGATCACAATTCCGTTGTAGAAAGGAAAATCGGCTAAACAGCTACCCATCAAAGTGTGTTTTAGGGGTCACTATCTAGAACATACGGATAGCTACCGTCCACATTTGTGGCTCAGAGCGGACTGAGGGCGCGCTCTGCGCTCGGGTCAAGGCCCGAGGCAGAACTTCTGGGCAACAGTTACTGTATCCGGACACGATGAATCAAAGTTGGGGCTTGGGCGATCTTCCCCGCATAACTGATGCCTGGAAGTTTTGCCTCGGGACGTCCCCCGAGCGCGAGCACGCCCTGACCAGAGTCGCAAACCATCGTCGTGTAGCATTTATGGGTCGCATGCTCTCGCAATGGACTGCAAGGGGACGACTGCAAGCAAAGCAGGTCCCCTGCTGTCAGGCAACAACTCCCCGAAGCGCATCGGCATTTTCCATGGTCCGCAACACCACAAGGGATTGTGACCCCATCTCCAGCAGCACCGTCATATATCTGTCTGTAACTTATTTCACCGTACTATCACCCTTGCTTCCCTCTCTTCGCCACACCCCACCATCTTCATCTTCATTGACTCGTCTTGAGACTCAGAATCTGTTTTGCAGGACGACTTATGTCCTTACTCCGGATTTCCTTTCTGTAGACCTACTGTATCAGAATCTGTACTCCATGGTTGTTGTCAGGCGTTGTTTGTACTGTAGCCAAGGTATCGGCGTTGGGTTGTGTTGTGCTGCGGTGGTATTGTGAATCGTTCTTGTGGTTTGCTGCTCGAGTTGTAGGTCTAGTGAGCGATGAGGGTGGTAACTAGGCTTCGACCATTTTTTGTGAGAGGTGTGTGACCTCTTCCAAGATTCCGTTCTCGAAATGGTGATGCTCGTACGATTCCGTCCTACGTTTCCTACGCTACCTCAGCGACTTTCTCACTGCGATGTCTAAGCGACAATGTTACAGCTTCCAAATTACTTCTGTCTAACCCTGCTTACACATTCATCTCCAGTCGAGTCCTGGCCGTAGAAAACGAGCGGAGTCGCTAGTCCAGATTCTCGCCTTTCATCTCAAAACAATAAACGCTTTATTCTCTAGGATGTTCTTGGTGTCGCCACCGACCTTTCGAGATTTGATCCTGAGCGATTCTGGAGTGCTGCTATCCCTACAGCTGCGTCCATGGGAGGCTGTCTGGGAACCAGCAAGAAGCACCCGCCACAGCAAGCGACTTTAGATCAGGTTTGTTTGACCTTGCCTTTTAGCCTCTCCTCTTAGCCTTCCCTTGTTCACCACTCTCTCTTTCGCGAATCTGCTTTTGAGTCGGCTCAAAAGGCTCGCCTTGTTCCTCAGTAACCCTCGCGCGAATCAGAAAGAGATCCAGGCATATTTTACACGCACAAGCACGATTCGGATCTCTTCCTGGCGATAGTTTCGGGTTAGGTTCGCGCCGCTTGTGCAGGTCAGGAGCGGGTGCAGGTTTGTTTTTGAGGCGCCTCAAAAATAGACTCCTCACGGGTGCAGGTCTGTCTGTCAGTAAATGGTGGATGACCGAGACAGACATGCGCCGTCTATGCAGCAGTCTCGAAATCCTACGAATCAGTAGCAGCAGTCGCGAAATCCCTGTCGCATAGATCGCGAATCCACGAATCTCGTGTCCCATTCACTGATCAAGTGTCCGATCCGTTCCTTGTCGTCTACGTCCGATCCTCCGTCACGTATTCTGACTGGAAACAGGGTTCCTCCGTCACGCATTCTGACTGAAAACAGGGTTAGATCCTTCGTCACGCATTCTGACTGAAAACAGGGTTGGATCCCCCCTCAAGCATTCACAAAAACACCGTTTGGTACTCCTTTGTTATCCGTTCCTCGCAGAAAAGCGAGGATGAAGCCCCGCCAGGCCTCGGCCCACTCGCCCTACTCGCAGTCGGGCGGAAGCAGCAGCTGCCGCGTGTCTCCCTCCCCGCTCACCCAAGCACTACTACCGGAAAACGGATGACGTCACGGCGAGAACGAATGACGTCACGGCGAGAACGGATGACGTCACGACAGCAGCCGCTGAGTCGATCATGGCAGGCAGAATGGGTCGAATGACGTCACGCCGAACGGAGAGCAGAGCGCTGTTGAGAAAAGGCCCTTGGATCGGGATGGTGCTGCGGTGAGGCTTTCACAAGTGATGCTTTCACCCTAAGTGCGGCTTTTACCCTAAGTGAGGCTTTCACCCTAAGTGAGGCTTTCACCCTAAGTGAGGCTTTCACCCTAAGCGAGCCTTTCACCCTACGTGAGGCTTTCATACTAAGTGAGGCTTTCACCCTAAGCGAGCCTTTCACCCTACGTGAGGCTTTCATACTAAGTGAGGCTTTCACCCTAAGTGAGCCTTTTACCCTAGGTGAGCCTTTCACCCTAAGTGGGGCTTTCACCCTAAGCGAGCCTTTCACCCTAAGTGAGGCTTTCACCCTAAGTGAGGCTTTCACCCTAAGTGGGGCTTTCTCTTTCAGTGAGGCTTTCACCCTAATCGTCTGGATCCTGCTGCACTGCGCTCGCTTGAATCTGACACAGGGTGTGATCCTCCTTCACGCATTGAGTGTTACCTACCTACCAAAGCTTCGCTATTGAGTGTTCCTCCTCTCAATTTCTTCTTCACCCTCTCTCCCCGCCTCCCAATCCGCCCCCACTCCGCCCCCCTCTTGCCCCAACCCTCTTCCCCACCCTCGTTATTTCTTCTTGTAAAGGGAGCTGTGCTTGCATCGGGAACAACCCCAACATCCCCAGCGCCACAGCACCGCCAGCAGCAGCAGCAGCAGCAGTCACCGTCGCCACAGCACCGCCAGCAGCAGCCGCAAACGTCGCCACGTCCCCAAGCACGCTCGCCTGAACCCACGAGATGGCCGCCTGAGCCCCCGTTAGAGTCACATTTTGGAAAAGTGACAGCCAGAGCGGCAGTGAGAGAGGGTGAAAGACGACTTTCAGAGGTGCCTGGAGAGGAAACTCGGGAGACGAACGTTGCTTCGCGAGGGACGAGCTCGAATGTAGGGACGTTTCCCAAAGAGAGACGGGGGATGGGGTGGAGGTAAGGGCTTGTCGGGAGGGAGGGGTCTGGATGGGGAGGAGGGTAATGAAATGGGCTTTAGCAGCAGCCGTGTTGGTAGTAGTGAGGCTGGGATAGGGCGGGTCGATCTGGAGAAAGAAGGAGGACGCGTAGAGGAAGCAGTTGAAGCAGCAGCAGCAGCAGCGCGAGAAGCAGCAGCTGGAGCTGGCGCAGCAGCAGCAGCAGCAGCTGAAGCAACAGCCAGAGCAGAGGCGGGCGAAACGTCTCCGTCGAAGCAACGGGCCTCTGCAGCAGGAGAAGCAAGAGCAGGCGCAGGAGCAGCGGCAGCATCAGCCACCGCAGCCGCAGCAGCAGCAGCAGCATTAGCAGTAGGAAAAGTACCCGGGCCAGTAGCCGTGACGAAGCTCCCAGTGCCAGAGTTCTTTCCAGATTCCACCGACCTCGCGGATGCGTGGGTGAGCCGGCCGCCCATCGACGAGGGGAAGCCCATCCGGTGGCGCAAGGGCGAGCTGATCGGTGCGGGCGCGTACGGGTGCGTGTACATGGGGCTCAACCTGGAGTCCGGGGAGCTGCTGGCCGTGAAGCAGGTGCTCATTCCGAGCAGCTCCACCACCAAGGAGAAGGCGCAGGTGAGACAGAGAAGGT